TTATCTTTGATTTCAAATGATTTTTGATTATCACTGTTAGCAAAAATTATAAATCCATCTTGTGAAGGATAATCATTACTAGAATTCAAATCATTTCTTAAAATATTTCCACAATCAATCTGACCATATGAATTATAGAATCTAGTAGCAATTGTGTTAATATATTTATTATTAGTAGAACAAACAAATTCAATTGGTAATTCAACTTCAAATTGATATGTATTTATTACTTTACAATTATTATTATGTAAATTCATGTATAATTTTCTCATTTTATAGAACAAAAATAAACATATACATAAATAACTTAAATTGTAAATTAGATTTGGTCGATTATATTCGATTCAACTTTATTATTATTATAAATTATATGTAATCACGAAGTGCAAAATAACATGGAATTGTTACAATTTTATCATTATCATCAAGTTTACATACTATGTTACCATGATCATATCTTATCATTGTTGCTTTAGTACTAAAATAATTTCTTGTCTTTCTGAAAGTATTGTCTTTGCTATTATCCAAATATATTATTAACTTGTCTCCATATATATAAGATAAAAATCCGTTTTCAAATTGTTTATATAATATTTCATCATTCTTCTTAACCATTTGTTTAATATAATCATATTCAAGTTGATAGCATTTATACATATTGTTGTAATTAGGTATGTATTGAATATCAATAGGTCGATAACCAGTTTTATTATGTTTTGAAAAATTATAGTAAGTAACAATTTCTTGAATAAGTATATCTTGATTTTTGTTTACATATCTCGACCTTATATTATCATAAGCGGTTCTAATTGTTCTGATAACTCGATCTACAACTCTGTTTTTATTAATATGTTTGGATGGAGATGAATATGTTCTTATATTCAATTTATTGAAATAATTTGACATATAAGTGCTGTTCAATGCAGATTCACCATCAAAACGGATGTTATCAAAAACAACTCCAACATTAAGTAAAGTATTAAAAGGCATTATTAAACTGTCATTGTTTTTATTATAAAGTGAAAATACATATAAATATTTTGTGTTAATATTAATAATGAACATGTATATATTTTGTTTGATACTGTTTCCAGAATCAAAGAAAGCTAAATCGACTTCATAACTATTAAAATATGGAGAGTAATAAAGTCTTGAATAAAGTTTATTCATGGTTTTCGGATTGAAGTCTTGACTAATTATTTGTTTCTTATTGATATCTTTTTTCAATAAAGATTCATATTTATCTAAACTCTTAAATGGATAATCAATTGTTAAATTATTAAAAGGTATGTTCTCCATAAATAATTTATTACGTTTTTGATTTAATATTTGTTCTCTATGTCGCAATCTTCTTGTTTAATGTTCTTTAATTTGTTTTTGTTAAATATCAATTCCTTCTCTAAAACTCATTTCTATTTTATTTTAAACTATAAAGTCAAAGGTCGCGAATTCTCGACCTCGAAATTAAATATTTTTTTATTATATATGTTGTTCGTGGAATATCACTTCGTTTCGGTTCTCCTTAATATATTAGTTTATGTTCTAGTCTTGTTCAAAATTTATTTTTAAAATTATTTTCAAAACTATACTAAGTCACCTCTCTCGAACTTTTAGGTTTCACTTAGAGTAGTTATAGTAGGTCGACTCTCTCGAACTCGCAACTTTTTGCAATTATTATTAAAATACTAATTTATGTTTATTTTAACATATATTACCTCAAATTTTTAATTTTATATAAATTTTAAAATAAACAACATTTTAGTGTAAAATGAGCAAATTTTAGGCAATTTTATGTCATTCGACCTTGAAAATTAGGTCGTAAAAACCCATATAAATGATGTTTAATCCTTTGCGATTTTTGAAAAAATTTTTCTCAAAAACCAGGAAAATCGATAATAAAAACTGTTTCATCCTTTGGGGTTTTCGAAGGTTTTGAAATTGAAAAATCGCTGTAGGATAACACTGTGTGTTAAAAAGGGGGGGTCCAAAAAGTTAAAAAAACCCTAATAAAGTGATTTTAATAGTGTGCGATTTTTGCGAGTTCGAGAGAGGTGACCTACTATAGCTACTTTTATTATACAAGATATTATCAGAATTTAAAAAATTGAACCAATATAATTTAAAAACTATAACAATTATCAAATATATTCAAGTTATATGAATTACAATAAAGTTTTTCAATTATCAATAAAAAAATATTTAGTTGTTTAAATCATAAAAAATTGAGGCAAAAAAATATATTTCGGTATTTGTTCAAATTTTCAAATAATATCCATTTAAATATATACTATAAAAGCCAGAACTTTGAAAATCAAAACCAACACCATCATAAACAATAAGAATATAAAATTGAATATAACTACACACAAACGTTTTAACAAAATAAAGATATAAAACTGATATGTTGCAATGATAAACAACCGATCATTAACGTGCGACATAAAGAAAACAATATATTGTATTTATGTGTTTAACATGCTCGCTTTTTATATTGTGTATTAATGCTGTTTAATATTGTTTATAATAAGTTAATGAAAAACAATTTAATATAAAATGTATTTCAAAATCTGTACCGTTTCGAAATTTTATAAAAACCCTTTGTCCTAATTTCCCGTTATTTACTATTTTTTATTTATTTTATTTTTTATTTTCCTATTTGTTGAACCAACAACGGTACACAGTTTAAAACCCTTAAAAATCAATACAATTTCAATTATTGAACAAAAAATCGGGAAATCACCCAAATATTGGGTAAATCTTCCCAATTTTCCATGTTCGTTATTTTGTTAGTGGTTTATTTTGTAACTAAACATGAGTAAAATTCTATCTTTCAAATAAACATAAGATAAATGACAATATAACAATAAACAAACGATATGATGAAGGACAACATAGCATCAAATTATACAACACTTTTATTAATGATCAGTTTCTATTCATTTTAACAATTGAAAAATGGCCATTGATAACACAAAACGACAAACATTTAAAAACAAACAAGGTCGCCAATTACTACAGTATTAAATAAAATAAACAGTTAAAAATAAAAATTAAAAAATTTCAATTGTAAAGTTTTAAAAGTTTTTTAAATGCTGGTTTTACTCGTTTAGACTATTCAATTTTATATGAAACACAGCTTGGTGATTCTATAAAAACTGACATCGAATTATAAAGTCGTGTGTTTTTGGCAAAAATTGTGTTATGGTAATCAAAATTTTGATCCCAAGTTTGTTTTTTATATTTTTCAAGTAAATGTTTGGTGCAAGATTTATTTATCAAGTAAAATTTAAAAATAATCAGGTTCGTTATTTTGTTTTTTATAGTAAATGTTTTGAACAAAAAATGAGGGTTAAGCAAAGAAAAAATAATTTAGGAATAATAAGTCCAATAAATTGGGTCATCCCAGTACAGAGTTTTGAAAAACAGTTTATAATAATTAAAATTTTTCATTTGTTTGAATTTTAATCATAAATATTAATTAAAGATACTTTGGTTTTTTTCAATATCATTTCTTTTCACAAAATACCATACTATAAATGGTATATTTTTGCTTTCATCTAAAAATTTCTTATAAGTATTACTCTTGTTTTTTTCATACTTGTAAATTACGTTTAATTCTTTGAAAATGTGTTTTTTAATGTTTGTTTAAGTGATAACTTTTTAGTTTGTAAACATATAAAATCCAACTAAAACTTTAAAAGATGACATTAAAATTAAGAAAACACCACAGTTTACAACAATTGAGATTTCATACTTGTGGCTCATGTGTACGTGCACATAAGAAATTAGAATCAATTTCATGAAGCCTTAGTTAAACAAAATTACATGTTAATGAGACTTGTTTTTATTTCTTTTTGGATATTTTGCTATTATTTCGAAACCCTATTTTATTTGAAACATTTTAAATTATTACAGGGACAAGAAACGAAGTACAAAGACGATTTGTTATTATTTTAAAACCAAATTGAAGAAATGTTCTTTGTATTTGTTTTGACACTTATTTCATTTGAAACCAAACTAAGTGCACTTGTTGTTTGAACGCTTAAATCTGGCACAAATGAATTTTGGAAACCCGCATTCGTTTTTTTCTTTTTTCTTTTCTTTTACAATCTTTTACTAAAAATACGTTTTTGCTTTAAAAACATCAGACAATTAACAGATATCATGCTACCGCAATTGGAGATGTTTATGATGCAAGGAACTTGGAAATTGAACTGAGAAACTTGGAAACTCAACATGAAAGAGAACATGTAAATATTAATACAAAAACCACAAATCCACTTTTTAACAAAATTGATGGTGTGGTATTCATAGAATTGATACAAAATGCATTTTCTGTTGTTTCAGAACAAAATTGTACCAATCATCACCTTCACACGTTGAAAGTTGCTTTTTGTTGTACTCTTGAAATGACACTAAAAAACGACGATAAATTTACATGTGATGTTGAGATAACCGATTCTGTATTATCTGCAATTATTAATTCCTATTGTGATAATTGATTATTTTTCGTAATGACAATTACAATTATTTATTGCCGAACTTTTTAGTGAATCTTGTTTTGTTTTTTAGGACAAAAATGGGTGTTTCCAATATGTCAGATTTAAGCTTACAAACAATATTCTTCAATAAACTACCTTGCAAAAAATCAGGAAAAGATTTTTAACTCAATGAAAAAAATCTTTGGTTTTTTATAGTTATTCGCCTCAAAGAATAAAAAATGACATTTTTATAAATAAAATTCTTTATTTTTGGGCTCAATAGCTTGTTTTGGATAAACTGTCTTAAATGATGTATATTTATTTTAATAATATAATAATTTAATAGTACAAAATCAAATAAAAAATAATCACTTAAATTATTTTATTAATACTTCTTTCCTGATAAAATAGTTGATAGTTTTTTACCCAAAAATCCAAAACAAAAACAAACGAAAAAAACTTATAATAATAAACTTATTAAAAAACTATTTTAAGAAATGCAAACTTCATAATCAAAAAATGGACGCGTTAGTTTGTGAAGTTGGCAAAACATTATTTTCTTCTTATCTCAACGACAACCCAACGTTCAGGAGTATTCGAGATTACCCGGCTAAAGATGTTTTTTTTGAGCTTCAACAACTTCAAAAAATCTTTTTCCCCGACTTTTTCCTTCCACACAAGAACATCTCACAATCGCACATTTCTTTGGAAATAACAAAATTGATCGACCACCTGATCACTTCAATTTCCGCATACAACGATGATGACTTTGCAGAGAGTTGTTGTCTTAAAGTCGTTGAAAATTTGCCAAAAATAAGAGAGAGTCTCAAAACCGACTTAATAGCGGCGTATGCTGGAGACCCCGCTGCGCCTGGTCTTCCGATAATCATTCGGTGTTATCCGGGGTTTCAAGCGGCTATAGTTTATCGCGTCGCACATGTGATTTACACGTGCGGAGAGAGGTGGTATTGCAGAGAGTTAATGGAGTCTGTCCACGCATACACTGCGATTGATATACATCCTGGGGCACAAATAGGGGATCACTTCTTCATAGACCATGGCGTTGGTGTAGTCATTGGAGAGACAGCTGTAGTAGGAGAGTGGTGTAGAATTTATCAGTCTGTCACACTTGGTGCTATGCATTTTCAAGAAGAAGGTGGAATCATTAAAAGAGGAACAAAACGTCATCCCACTGTTGGTGATTATGTCACAGTAGGTGCTGGCGCTAAAATACTTGGGAACATCACTGTGGGGTCTCACGTGCGAATTGGTGCCAACTCGTGGATATCACAAGATGTTCCCGATGGTCAAATTGTGTATATTGGTGAACACCCGACACATGTCGTTAAGCCCTGTTTATCTTGTTTGGCGACAAAAAGTGACGACCAAATTCTTAAACTCCTTTCTCCGGGCCCCAATTCACCAGCACCACTTAATTAATTCCCTTATTCATCCACTTGATTTTGTTGTGAATTTTTTAAATAGGTTTGAAGAGAGAAGAAAAAGTGAACTGAAAAAACAATGAAAATAAACGTGGGAGGTGTTTCTGGGGGGTTTGAGCTTTACGAAGTGCCCGGAGATGAGACTGTGGGGTATTTGAAAGGGCTTTTGAGTGCGAAATATCACAAAGATGTGAGTAAAATATGTTTGGTGTATAAAGGAGAGAAGCTAGCTAACGAGATGGTACTTTCTGAGACAATTAAAGACGGCGACCGAGTTATTTACATCGAAATTCGGAACGTTGTAGTAAAAAAGGTGAAGGAACACCACAAAAGAAATTCATGTGAGATGGATAGAGCGACTGAAGGTAACCAAGATGACATTCTTGAGGTTTCATTTGGCGATTCCAGTTTCGAGGAAATGTTGGACGATATCGCGGAGGTTGATGTCGAGATGGCAGAAGCGATTCGAGGAAACCCCGATTTGATCTCCGAAATTTTACTGCAAGACACAGAGAGTGTTGGTGATGGAGAGAGTTTAGAGGAAGAGGTTGAACTTGAGAAGGCAAAGATCGAAGGAGATGTTCTTGATAAAATACACACCAAGTTACACAAAGGAAACCCATTGAATGAACTTGAAAAGTCGATTATTAATAGTGACGACGGTGATGGGTATGAAATGTGTGCTGTGTGGAAATTGATAGAAATGGGGTATCGAGAGGATATAGCAGAGGAAGCTGTATCGAATACGAGTAAGTTCCAAGATGCGGTCGAGTATTGTGAGGATTATGTGAATTGATGAGATTGTTCTTGTAAGATGTGAATTGAAAGATATAAGTGTCGGTACTGTTTACTTCAAGTCTTATTGTGTCAACTCTAATAACGATTTAATAATAAATTAATTATATTTTAATACTTAGTTGACTTTGTGTAATGTCAAAATAAAATGAGTGTAAATCTATTCATCAGAGCTATACATAGTATTATTGGGTTTGAACTTGTCATCTATGACAACCCCCTTTTGTTCTTCGCTACTGAGCCGAATCAATGTAAGAGCAAATTCGACTTGTTTTCTCGCCTTTTCTAGCGTAAATAACTCCGAAACAATTCGAGGCTTTTTACCGACGGATTCCATTTCATTAAGTGGATTAGAAAACTTGGCAAGAGCCGTGTATAGTCCTGGGAAATTATTATATTGTTCTTTAACATATTTGACTGCAATGTCTTCAACAGGCCTCGGAGAGTTTGTGCCTAAGTGCCACTTATCAAAATGAATTCTCACACTCGACTTTCCCATTGAAGAGCCACAGAATGGACAATAATATAAAGGTTCATTTTCCTCTGTTTTTCCGTACCTGATAACACCATACTTTCTACAATTAGAACCAGCCAAAGATGCATCTCTTTTTTCTTTCTTTTCTTTATTAAAACAATATTTCCGTTTTGTTTTTTCATGTCCTTCACTTGGAGGTTTTGGAAGTTTTGATGGCTGTTCTGACGGTTTTGTGTGTTGTTGGGCGCGTTCTTTCTCTTCCATTTGGTATAACTTTTAACTTTTACAGATCTGATACAAAAATTAAATTCAAATAGAAATTAATAAAGAGAACTGTTCATTAAATAATTTATAAACTGTTTGTTTATTATAAAAATAAAAAAATAACAAATAGTTTCAAGTTTTGTTATTAAATTTAATTCTTTTTATTATTATCATTAGGATAATGTTTCTCACTATAAAAATAGAAATAAAACATATTTGTTAAACAAAGTAGTAGTATTATTATTAAAATTATCATATTTGTATTATATAATTATCATTTTTTTTCAAATAGTTTTTAGAGTCTAAAAATTTTAGACTTTATGATGATTAATAAAAGTAGAAAATAAAATAAATTTAAATTTAGAACGTTATTAACACTTTAAATAACATTGAACAAAATTCAAGTGGTCTAAAAATCGGGAAATCTCGAGTTTATTAAATAAATTTCCATTTTTTTTAGAGATTTTATAATGTGCATAAACAATACACAAGCCAAAAAAGGAAAATCATCAAAAATTGGATTAATATCCCAGTAAAAACAGGCCAAAACAAAAATAAGGGCGTTATTTTAAGTGTTAATTTGACAAGAAAAATCGATAAATATTTTAATATGTTAATTGTTTTTTTTATTTCAAAAAAAAATATTTTTTGACCAAGATTATCAGTTTATAAGATAATTTGGTAAAGAAATTCCGTTATTCCAGAAGTAAATTTAAAACAAAGAGTCACTAATTTAAAATGATAAGAATAGAAGTTCCAATGAAAAAGTTTTTAAAAAACACACAAGTTACTTATTTAGTTAAACCAAGTGAACAAAACATTTCAGAAGTGGTACAAAAACATTTAATGAGTTAAAAAAACAAAAAGGTAAATTAATTCAAAAGCCAAGAAAGGAATCTGTCTGCGTGAGGCTTGATGAAAGGGAGGTGGATTGTTTCCGAAAAGATGTAGAGTGACTGTATAATGATGACCACAGTTGTTGGTTGTGGAACTCCGATAATTATCAATGTGAATGTGACACACACAATGCAAATAACATGAAAGGCAATTGCAAACCCCGCATGTGGAGAGATGCAACACACCTTAGGATTACAACCGTACACAAAGATGTATCTACCATATAAGTTTCACATTATTGAATCTTCAATTCTCTGTCATTAGAATAGCGTAACAACCAAAAACAAACGACAGAAAAGATGGTATCAACGCGGTGATATACAACACGTAAATGACCCACATATTTTCGATTGTGAGTGATAATATAAAAGACGTCAATGACAAGAGAAAAGTGATAATCCACAAAATAATCGTCACAGTCACACGTACACTTTTTGTTATACGAACGACCCCAAAGTTCCAGTCATATCGAAATGTCTCAGTGCTGTTTGCCTTTGTCTCCGTGTCCATGTTTTGTTCTTTTCAAGTTCACTTTTGGTCTTTTTGTTGGTTATTTTAAGTCTAGTATAATATATCTATTATTAATTATATGTAACTACTTTGGGTTTGATGATACTATTTGTTAATAATACAACTACTATTAAATACTAGAAATAATCAATTAGAATTGAAGAGTTCTAATTTATTGATCATCGTGTATGTCGACGTGAAGAGGTAAAGGTATCTGTACCAGTTAAGCTGTGACGGGTAATATTTCATATACTCATACGCTTCATGAGAAGACTCCAAGAGAGTAGTGATGTTGTCTTGTTTAATAGAATCCAGAAAAACAGAACACAAACAGTCTATGGTGTGACTGTACTTTCTTATAATGTTCTTTGAAGTGAGGGTATACAATGAAACATGAGGGACTAATGTATGAATCATTGGCAGAGCCTTAAACAAGTTGATATGATTTGGATGTCCACTAATTCCATTTTTATCAAACGTTATAATCGTTTGAATTCCATCTCTCTCGACTATCTCTTGAACTTCTTGTGCTATCTTCATGATGTCCCAATTCTCTTGGAAGCCATCCTCGTTGTTAATAATAGTATATAATTTATAGTAAAATTCATATTAATTATAGAATTTGTTTTTAATACAATAGTATTTTGTATATTTGCTTAAATATACAAACCTTAAAAGTCTGTGGGTCTGCGATATACGAATTTTCACACCCGTAGCCTTTGCAAGCGTTTTGGAATTCTTGCTTTCTAGTTTCGTCTAATACATTAGTACTTTAATAAATATATTAATATATTTATTATACTAATTAATAAAAAAACAAACTTGAAGAGAATAATACCATTGAGAATGGAATTGACTTTCTTTTAAGACTCTCTATTGTTGGTACATAAAACATCGCGTCATCATCTGCATGTGCAAACAAAAACAAAACGGGCTCTCTCATTATTATAGGCTTTGCAAGAGCTTTGTGTGCAAAACTCTTAACAAGAGCTTCGATGATTAAGAGAAGTCCGCCTATAATGAGGACAAATGGGTTCATTGAGGCAATTCGAGTTCTTCACATTATTTAATTTCAGTTGTTAATAAAGTTAACTAAAACGACAAACTAAAGAATAATAAAAATTAAAGTAACAATACAACGAGAGAAGAGAAAGTCAGAACACTAAACCTTTTGGGATGAACAGTTTTGAGAACCTTCCCAATTTTTTTACTTCAGCCACGTCCGAAGTGGACTGCGAAAGTTTTGGAGATTTTCTTTTGATCACTGGCGTTTTGGGTAAACTTTTCTTGGATTGGCTGTCACCAACAAACGACTGAAAAAGAGCGTCCACTTCAGACTGATCAAAAGAAGAAAGTTCCCAAAGGGTGCAGTCGACTTTACCCTGAGCAAATTTGGACAAATTGGAACACTCATTGGAAGTCACACTTCTGTTGTTGACGTCTTTCTTTGTTGCTACTAACACGAACTTGGGCTTTTGAGCTTGTTCTCTGTTTTCAAACAACAAGTTTAAGCAGTCGACCACTTCTGAAAATGCTTTAATGAACGATGCATGGTCTGTCAATGAGAAAACATAGACTAAGGTGTCACATGCCAAAATATGATCATCGCGAAGCATCGAGTAATTTTCATTTCCACTACAGTCATTCAAACGAACTTCATATTCACCACAACTCGTTTTGATTACAGAATTGTACTCATCATCTATGGTTTCCGTATATGAAGTCAGCCGTTCACATCTCATGTATTGGTGAAGTAAAGTACTCTTTCCGCTCATCGTAGGACCAATGAACGTGATAACGTGTTGGCTCATCTAAACAACAGTCTTCACTAACCCACTTTATATACCCCTGGACAAAAAAAATCATTTTGTTATTTTGGTTGCGCATCGGTAATAAATAAAATTCTTTGTGGATACCACATCGTTTAATGTGCTTTTTGGTAACAAATAAACTAATTACTTACTAGAATATAACAACAGATTTACTATTAAGAGTACTAGAAAAATCTGTATAAATTATATACACTTATGTAATTATTACTGCTAGTTAAAAATAAGCAACACTTTTCAATACTTTTTTATTCACTGGCGCTCAATTCTATTATTATTGGGGAATACTGCTATAATAACAGCCTGAATAAATTATTTAAAAATAAAGAAAGCTAATAGTGGAATTTGTAAGTCTGTATTTGTTATTTAAACTTGCTTCGGTATTTTTAATGCTTCCAAAATTTGGTTTTACAGTGTATTGTTACACACATAAAATGAAGTTTTGAATTCTTCTATGGGATACTGAGCAATTCCATTATTATACAAAACATTCATTTTCAGTAAAGAAAAAGTTTGTTGTTATAATTTTACTTACTGCATCTTAGGCATTCGTATATTCATTGACGGAGATTTTTACTCTCCTATTTTCTTTACAAATTGAAAATAGTTTTCATCGAAAAAAAAGAACTTTGAACAGCGATCCCGTAGTATTAAACGATCTTTACTGCATCCCTCGTTTTACTCTACACTAGAAAATATGGAAATAGAGAAAAAATACCAAAACAAAAAATTTCAAAAGCAGAAAAAATGTTATTTGTGTCTAATGTTAATATTTTGTTATTCACCGGTTCAACCATTTAACATCGTACAACACCTAATTTACTCAGCGAGCTTAAACAAATCTTGCAACACCATTTCCATGAAGTTTCCGTTGATCACAAAATACGTGAACGGGGTGATTGGTAAAAATTTGCTTGTGAGGAGTGTGAAGATGGCTAATATAACACTTCCAAATACAAGAGTCTTCCATACCTTCCAGTCGAGGACGACACTCAAGCAGACAAAGTACGCCAAGTTCGACATCCCGACGGAGAAGAAGTAAATTGGAAGGGGGTCATTCCACATGAGGACCAAACACAGAAATATTTTCCCCAGTGATCCAATTAGAAACGATTGTGAGACCATCACAACAGTCTCTTCGATTGTTGTTTTCTTGATAAGTACTATAGGTATAATGCACATGATCAGGAATATGACGTCTTCGAAAATCGCTTGTGCAATGTTCCGTAAAAACGAATAGAAATTGGGAAATTGTACTGTCGACTGCCTGATGTACCCTTCAAGTAACATCGATCCCAAAAACAGTTTAACAAAGAACGCCATTATCGCTTTGTCGTGATTATAAAGTAAGTGCCGATACACTGGAGGTTTCTGTAAAAAGAGGTCTAAGTACACCAACACGTTGTCGTACTCAATGTATTTGTCCGCTATTTTCTTGCATTGCGGACACATTTTTAATCGAATAAATTGGCCACAAAATATTTCGTATGTATCTTCTATCTCCGCTCCACACTCAACACACCGCTTTGAACTGCTGAACACGGAATTTTTCGTCATGACTTTTCAGTCCAAAGGGTTTTTGAGTTTGGTGGCAGTTTTACCGGCATCGAGTGTCGGGTTAAATACACAGTTGTATTAATAGATTATTTCATTAGTAAATAAACTAGTTTTCAAATATTAAAACAGACAGACAAGTAGATTGTTTCATTTTATTATTATTAATTATTTCAATTATTCAAGGAACTAGAATTAAACAGCATAATAAATTAAAATTATAAAAAATGAAAACCTCGTTAATTAATAGTGTTTATAACACCAAAAAGAAAATATAATAAGTATATAGCTCGTTAAATAGAATGAAAAGTAGGATATACGACTATAAAAGTTCAACAAGTGGAAAATGTAAAAGAAATACAATCTTTGCTCAATTCACTTTGAATCGCCGTCTTTGTCTTTCTTAACCTTCTTCATAATGAAGGACACCAAGATATCAACTCCAATCACAATGACTACAATAGCTACAATACCTCCTAATATACCAATGACCAGCTTCGAATTGTCGACTAGTTATTAGTATACTAATATGATATTAATAAAATATAGAATTATACCATTATTAATAAAGTATAAACAAGATATTATATTGTTTAATTTAATATAATAAATAGTATATGTTATAATATATTAATAAGAACAAACCAACTTCATTACACTTCCCATCTTTAACGACGTAAGAGTCTCGGCATACACTACAAACACCAGCAGAACAATACACACAATCATCAGTACACTTTGCGCAGACAAACGTCGAATCTTTGACTTGGAACTCGTAACCAGGAGCACACCGTTGGCACAGTTTGGAGTCTAAACACGACGAACAGTGTTCAGGACACGCCTTGCATGTAGAGTCAACGTCAGTGTATTCGCCGTCTTTACAAACAGCGGAAAGTGCAAGTGTAATGCACAAAACCAAAAGTGGTAAGCGTTGCATCGAGTAAGGCGAAGTTCCAGTTCACTTCAGTTTTTACGAAGTTTGTGGGTTAAACTTCTATTCGCTCTTTTTTCTTCTGCTCTTCGAGCGGTCAACTCAATTCGATGGTTGTTGCGTCTTTTTCCCGATTTTGTACACATTCTGTAGCCACATTGTCTTTTTTTTCGTTTTTTCACCTTTTTGTTTCAATCAACCTAAACATATTATTACATTAATACAAGTTATTATAATATATGGTACAGTGTGTTAGATTGGGAAAAAAATGTTTCAAAAAGAAAGGATGTCATCAATCAAAAAACTTCTAACTTTTATTAGAAGCCAAACTGAGGGATAAAAGCTACTCTTGATGTATAATTTCAATATAATAAATTTACCATTAGTGTATAGTAAGTGTGTCAATACCCAAATAAAAAATGTTATATAAAACATTTTTAAATAAAAAAAGCAATGGAAAGAACTCGAAAGAACTCAGAATAACTTCATGTCGACTTCTGATGGTGTCCAGCCGATCCTCGATGCAAAGACGATAGTTGATAGTCTTAAGAGTGGACGACTGAATCAGATCACAGAACCTTTATTAGGGCAAACCCACATTACACAGGAGTATTTGACAGTTTTAATACATGCGATGACAAAGGACCCGACCCGACTCCAGTTATACCTAGACCGGCTTGAATTTGAAGGAAATAATTTAAATATAGAAAAAACGATATTTGAATTAATAGAAGCTGGGATGTCAGAAAATGCCCAAAAATTTGCTGAAAAACGCTCTCCGTCGAGTTATGTGAAAATTTTATTACGAAACGCCGTGTGTCAAAGTGAGAAAACTGCGCTTGAGAGTTACAGCCAAATTATATTGTATATTAATAACCAACCATTTAAGAACAAAATTGCTTTGATCAAAAGTTTTGGAAAAACATTGGTGGACTCGTTGCTCCCGTTGAACGGTGGCGACGACTTAATCAAAAAGATCACCGACCTCTTGGTAAGTCTCTTTATCGATAAACCGTCGAACGAAGATCGCCTTGACCCCGGTGACTTTTTGAGTATCATGGAAAACTGTCAGCAACAACAAGACAATTTCTTACGAAAGATCCAAGCCAAAATCGGGGAGTTAGCTGCGCAGAATGAAAAGGTTGGGGACTTACTAATAGAGATGGATTTGAAGTCGAGTAATCCACAAGACAAGAATAAGGCGATTACATTATATAAGTCCGCAGACTCGAAGAAAGAAAATTTGAAGAACCTCTTTTTCCAAAGTCGAATTCTTGACGAAGTGGTCAATGACCAAGACGAAAAAGTACTTTGCTTACTCCAAGAGAAGAAGACGTGTAGTTTGGAGGAGAATATGAACATCGGAATACATTACTTGCCCCTCATCTGTGAAGAGGAAGTCCAAACAAACAGTTTTGAGGGCTTTGAAAAATTCCTGAAAAGCACTTTCCAAGAAGGGATGGAACACATGCCCCCACATAAAATCATTTCAGTGTTGGAAATTCTGTCGAATCCGGAATTTGAGAAGAACGTCCAATTTGACTCGAAGATTAAAGAGAGTCTCAAAACAGGGTTATCGTTCATAGACGAGGTCCCTACATTGAGAGAGGCGATTGAAGAGAGACAAAACTCGTTGAGTGACCATTTGGTATTCAGACAGACACGTTGCGCAAATTGTGGACAAGAGTTCACGGATAGCGAGAGTGAATACCCCATCGTCCATTTCCATTGCGGACATTCATTCCATAAAAAGTGTTTGGGGAGTGCCACAGAATGTCCGAAAAATCATATGAGTGGTCCGATGAAAGTCATTGGCGAAGAGGAATTTGAAAGAGCAGTGAATGGGGCGGACTTTAATGGGTTCTATGAATTAATTAATTCAGTCTCATCCATTTTTGGAAACGAGAAAGACGAATTTGCTAAGGAAAGTCAACTTGGACAGAGCGAACAAATTGGAACGGAATCAATCACTAACAACTTACCAGAACCTAACGAACAAATGAAAGACCCAGATAACTACTTGCAAAAAATTGACACATCGAACCCATTCTTGGTTAACGATAACACTAACACTGAGAAAGAAGAAAATAAGGAAGAGAATCCATCAAATGACCTCTTTAACGAACTGTTTTAATTCATTGAGAAGTATACGTTGGATTATTATTAATTTTATTAAATATTTTACTATTTGGTTATTATTTTTATAATAGAAATTTTAATTACAATTATTTTAGTGAAAAATAGTAATTATAGTCACCCGCTAAAAGGTGTAAATTTACGACAAATGGTCTAAAGAAACCATTTTATAGTTTTTAGAAATTATGATTTTAGATTATGTTTCAATTTGTCATTTTTTTCTTTATATTGCAAGTATTTCAAAATTAACTATAAATTTACTTTATTCTAAAACATTGTCAAAATAGATTAAAGGTGAACTGAAAATCAATTATTAATGGAAAAATGCAGTACAAATACACTTACCTGGACAATACCAGAAAACAAAAAGACCAAACCTGCACCTGCGATGGCTTTCGACGATTCGGCAAATTCTTTGGATGTATCAGATTCATTGTGTTATTTGTTTGTGCTGTTTCTGTTAAAACAAAAAGAATTTTGCTACAGTCAATATAAACGGTTACAAATTTATATTGCTTATAAAAATATTAAGGTGTTCAATAAAAATATGGAAAGTTTGGAATCCGCAAAAGTGTTTATAAGTGTTATCAACCCATACTACAATATCAATGTTTTGGATGGTTTTCTGAGACTGAAAATAATTCAAAAAGATCTGGCAAAAATTTTCAAAGTGAATGAGCCAAGAATTTCCGCTGATATTAAACAAGAAGAAGAAGCGTGTTATACATGTAATGAATCTAAAAGTAAATATAACATTTCTTTTAAACAATCTGATATACTTTGTTCTAAAATATCCAGAAGATTACTAAAAAACAAAGCAGTAACAACAGATTATGTTTGGAGTCTTTTTGTTGATGAATGCAACTTGAATACCATAAAAGAATCTTCAATTCGTTGGGCAGAAAGACATGGGTTAAAACTTGTAACGTGCAAACAACTTGCAGAAAAACGATTCGATGTAAATCCCATTGATGTGTTAAACTACTTTTTGACTCTCCAAAATAGTGTAGATAATTGTTTTTCTGGTCTTGTTGTTAACATGGATGAAATGGGTTACAGTCCAAGAGCAGATTCTAAGGATGGACACTGTTTTGTTCCAATGAATTATGAAATGAAATTTGTGTATTGTCGACAAGAGAGGGATGAACGACATTGCACTTTAATTGCCGCAGTTGCTGCTGATGGTTCAACTCTGAAACCAACTGTTATTTTGCCCGTTTGTTCCATTCCAAATGAATATAGGTGTAATGGACTAACGGAAAATAATGTTTTATTCCGATACAGTGTGTCTGGATTCATTACTCGTGAAATTTGTGAAGACTGGATTAGAACTGTTCTGCTTGATTATATTAATAGAAAACGTGTTGAAATTAAAAATGAAATGAATGCGCTTGGAATTGAAATAAAAATGTCCGATCTTAGAGCTTGTCTAGTGTGGGATAATGCAAAAAGCCACAGTTCCTCGATTATTGAATTGTTACTCGCTGAAAATAACATAACTCTTGTTAGATTAACTCCACATGCTTCTCATTTCCTTCAAGTTCTTGATTTGGGGATATTTGGTAGGCTTAAAAGAAGAATGTCTTCTTTAAAAGCGAACGACAGTTTTGTAAATTTGCTTTTTCAAGAAGAAGTCGAAAAGGAAGATGTGGATGGTAATTTATTTTGGGAAGATAAAAAACCAGATTTTTACAATATTGAACTCGGAAACAGACTAAGAGAGTTGATGATATTGGTGGATTCTTTCTTTGCGGTTACAACACCTCCTTTTAATATTATTGCTTTTAAACAAGCAGGAATAGTCAACTGGATTGACAAAACGCTTCCAAAGTGTCGTGTATCCATCGAACATTGTAAATTTATAAAAACGCCCCAATACAGAGAATTGTTCAAACAGTTTATTCCAAAACCAATTCCGTTGCTTCAAAAGAAAAGAAAGACAGTATTACTCCCTTTCCAAATTGAAGTTAAAAGAAAAGAAAGGGAAGTAAAAAAAGCATTAAAAACCCAAAATAAGATAAGGAAAAAAGAAACCACAATTTTAAGATTGCCGTTGTCTTCTAAACCATTCAAAAAACTTGACAAAAAATGATTAATTATTTTCTTATTTTCTTTTTTTGATTTTTTCATGTTATTTATGTTATTCTTAATGTTTTTAATAATTATAGTATAAAATAATAAATTATAGTTTCTTTACACCATTTGTCGTGTTTTCATTGCTTTTAGCGGGTGACTATATTATAATTTATTTATACTAAATTTTTTTAAGATAAAATTTATTTAAAAATCAAAAGTTTTTGAAGGAAGTTTTTATTTCTTTTCAACAACTTAAAAAATAATTGGAAATATTCCCGTTGAAATAGTTTAATTACTGCAAATATAAAATCTACTTTATAAATACAACAAAAAAACTTTTTATTAACATGTTAATATTTCTAATTTGTTTTTCAATTTAAAACAATTTATTTAAAAAAACAAAGAAATTATATTTCGTTAGTAAAGTTTTATAAGTTAATTTATTTTATATATAATACATTATTTTTATAATTATTTTTTACTAATATTTATTAATTAATAGAATGTTACAATTTATGGTTAATTCCATAAATTGTTTTTTTCTAACATAATTATATTTATAATTGTTTTTGTCGGATAATAAAAAAAAACATTTAAGTCCATTTCTTCAAAAATTGGATTGATATTAATTATAATAATATTAATTAAATTACTATTAAATTAAACAATAAGTTATTTGAACAAACATAAAACATTCTGAAAAAAAGATACAAATTTGATCACTTCAGTAATTTAGTAAACAAAAATTAGTTTAAAAATATTTTGTACCTCAAAATGTGGCAAAAAATAAAGAGTGGTGTTAAAATACTATATTTTTATAGTAATTTAATTATTTGTTACCACATTATAAACAATCTAAAAAGGACACAAAATGCCCAATCTTTTGTTTTTGTGTTGAATTTATTTGGTGAGAAATTATTTTGATAAGTTAAGAAATCATTCTACTAAATATAAATGATAAATATAATAATTTTTTTTAAGTTATTTTTTTGCTTTTCTTATGTTCGATACGAACTTTAAAATAAACTATAAATATGGTTTTATTAAAATAAAAATAATCAAAATGGAATAGGCAATAACCCGAATAATAGGCCCATTTGAGTTTTTTTATAAATCTACATAAAAAACTTTTTTTGACACTTTACATTTTAGTAAATAAATAATATAAAAAACTATAACATCAGGTTTGGCTATTTCCTTCACAATCTATTTTAGTGAATTTAAAAATACAAGACAGGCATTTAAAGAAAAAAGAAAAAAAACCACACGAATTGCCGATTCTATCTGTCAATATTTCGGGAAAGTGCCGAATATATTAAAGACGAAAAAACAGAATTAAAAAAATTCCCCAATAAAGAAGGAGAGATGTAAAGAGCCAAAATACGAGGGAAAAAGACAAAGAAACTTATTAAAGTATTATGAATTTTTTCCATAGTATCTTAAACACCATTAAAGATGCGATAAAGTGCGAGGACATCTCTAAAGCGCGGTACACCAATGTTGAAAAGTTACACACATCACAGTTTAGTAAGGTCTACAAGTGTCAATTGCGCGACACGATGAAGGATGTGTGTGTCAAAATTTATCAAGTCCGCAAGTGTGCCAAAATTAGCGAAGACACTGAAGGACAGATTCTGAACGAGATATCGATCATACGCAAAGTTAACCATCCATGTATATTAGGGTGTTCCAATGTCTTTTTAACATCGCACAGAGCAGTCCTAGAAATGGATTTTATGCATGGGGGTGATTTATATGATTATTTAGTGAGTAATGGTATTCAATGTGAGAAGAACACTAAGATAGTAATGCTTCAACTCTTAAGTGCGTCGCGATACCTCCACTCGATGAATATCGTCCATCGCGACATTAAACTTGAAAACATCTTGTTAACACGCTCCAATCGCATTGAAGAAGTCAAGCTCTCCGACTTCGGGCTTTCCGTTGAAATCGACGAGAACTCAGTCTTAACGGATCAGGTCGGGACGTCCTATTATATGGCACCCGAGTTGTATCGAAAAGAACCTTACGGGTTTAAAGTCGACATCTGGGCATGTGGTGTTGTGATGTATTCCCTCCTCTTCGGGAAATTCCCGTTTGACGGAGAAGGACAGGAACTCGTCGCTAACATCCTCAGAGGCAAATTCACCTTCCCAAAAGAAGTCTCTGATAACGCGAAAAGCCTGTTGAAAGGACTTCTCGCAACAAAAGTCACTGAACGGTTCTGTTCGAAGAACGCAGTCAAAAGTGCTTTCTTCGACGGAGAGGAAATCGTCGGAGATACTACTCCCCTCGACAACGAAATGATTAACTGCAAGTCAGAAAGTCTTGTCAGTCATATGACGGCTGTCGACACGACTTGCGAGAACCCGTCGGAAATCTCGGAAGATAAATAAATTGTAATTTAGTGTTTGTTAAATTTTGTTATTTAAAATGTTTTTACTTCTTTATACATCAATTTCTAAGTATAAAAAAGTGAAGAATTTTTTAAAAATCTTTTGAAAAACGTTTGGCGATTAAAAAAGATGGATAAATATTGAACCCGAACCTGCCACGTCACAATAACAAAAACAACAAAATGTTATTCTTATGGTTTTTGTTTATAATATTGTTAATAATTAAAAACTATACATTTGTAAATAACATTTCCCGTGTTTTAATTATTATATGCAAAGATATTAAGTCGGGTTTTTCTTTAAACGGAATTGAAAAATTTCAATTAATCCTTATGAGGTTTCTTTTCATCTTTTTTGAGTTGATTACGGTTTATTACAAATCGCAATTTCTTTCTCTTGGACGCTTCATCAACCAATTTAGAAGTTTTAGTAGCCCTTTTTCCTTTGCATTTAATAGTCTTTGGATCTTTTATCTCTCCTTTTGAATACACGTTGGTGTCTTCTTTCAAACTTTCTATTGTCTTAATGAACTCTTCTGTCTTGCTCGCGATGGTTTTTCTTCTTAAAAGGGAACCAACACTAAATAGTTTCTTCCTCAAATCTTCTTTTGTCATGTTTGTTGTCAAGTTAGTAGTCACGACGCGGTGGTAGCATTGGCAACTTTGTTCTTTTAGCACAGAAGTACCAAAATCGTTTTTTGTCAGATATGGAGATTCATTTGGGCACGATTCAATTGAAACAAGACAATTATTAATAGTTCGAAAATATCCAGTTGGACATCTCTCATGAATTCCGAAACGTCTCGAAACTATTCTGTTGAAAAGTAAATGTGGACAAGGAACACCACTTGTCAAATAACCTTCACAATTGCAAGTGCAACAATCACCAACAACGCAATTGCTGATAGTAAGAGAAATGTGATAATTATTAATCAATTTGTCCAAAGTGAAGGTGTCAAGTTTACTAAGCAAATCTCTACTTACTAACAAATTTAGAGTTTTCGTGTGTGTTTCAGTCATTCCTGCTGTTTTCAAATTGGTCTGCCTTGCGTAGTTCATAAAAGATTCTTTTGCTTCTTTCATGGTTGGGACTTTACCTTTAAAAGATGCTTTAGCATGTGAAAAAAATGACTCGACTACATTAGATGTCGAAAACAATCCCTGGTCAACTTGTGATGGCATATAATATTTGTTAGATTCATAAAGTTCAACTAAAAATTTCAAATTCGCATGTTCATCATTTTCAGGTGTTGTTTTCAACATTGTTCTGAGATTTAAATTAAAAGTGTCAACTGCACTTAATGTTTGTACATTTTGGATTGCATCCTTGATTTCATCACATTTCGTTGAATCATAAATCAAATTTAAAATAACTCTAATAAACTGCACTTCTCTTTGGAGCAAATTATCCACATTTAGAAACATTGAATAAAGTGATGTTTCCAACACACTTCCCTTTCCGTAATGAGTTTGAATGTTGCGAGAAATGTGTATGTAACAAAACCTGATTTTTACATTTTCACCAAACACGCATTTGAGTGCAAAAAATTGAGATTCGGAACGATCACACGAGAAACCCAAAGGAACTTTGTTACATTTTGACAATACCCGTTTTAACTCCGACAAATACAACACAAATGATTCTTTGGTCGAATTTGTGATAAAACCAAAAGACAGTGCTTGTGTTTTCCCATTGATTTTAAATACAGTGGCCAACAATGGGCATCCAAACTTGTTAGTGCAATGAGTGTCATCAATGCAAATGCAACTACCATCATACTTACAGAGTCCTTCATTGTTAATTACAAATGAAGAAACGAAAATTTCGTTTTCTTCAACGTAAGTTGTTGAAGAGAAATCAGTTTGTTCTTTCAAAAACGTAATGAACAAATTACACTGTTTCTTAGTGTCCATCCTCGCAGCTTTCATTCTGACATTGTAAAGAATGCCCGGGTTCACTACAATCTTGTTATTGACTCTGATAGTTGATGATGGAAGCCCCATTTCTGTTTCCTTTATAATTGCTTCTTTCAAAACACTACTCAATTGATCATGAGAACCTTTTATCACGTTAAATTCGCCGTGTAATGAATGCCAAGGATTATAATAAATACCCACACATTTTGTTTTATACAAATAAAAAATTATTTTGGATGTGCACTCTTTGTGTTTGCATGTGTATATCTGTTTAATTTGATTAATTCCTGTGTTTATAGCTTTATATATTTGAACGTTACTGGTTCCAATCAAATAAAATAAAAATGTTTTCAACTGTTCTGTACACAATGTTGGATAATCTAAATTTAACATTTTCCAAAGCCCTTCTTTAATTTTTTTATTAACTGAAGACAATTCTGTTTCTTTTGATATTTGTTGTTGAATCAACATAAAAGGTATTTCATAATCTTTAAATGTTTCAATAACTTCAGATGGTGTTGATTCAATGCTGTAACTTAATAATTGTGTTTTTACAATGTTTTGTTGATGTTGTTGATCTTTGTCTGTCTTGAGGTATATGTCCATTATATTTTAGAGTTCATTATTGTTATTAATAATCAGTTTATGAAAAACCCCGACTAAAACACGGGAAATGTTATTTACAAATGTATAGTTTTTAATTATTAACAATATTATAAACAAAAACCATAAGAATAACATTTTGTTGTTTTTGTTATTGTGACGTGGCAGGTTCGGGTTAAATATTTATCCATCATTAAAAAACATCATCTTTAGATATTTATAATTAAATAATTATATAATAATAATTATTAACACTTATAATTTCATTATAATTTGAACACAATCAATCAAGACCGACAACATTAATAAAAATAAATCCGTGAATTTAGGAAAAAAAAGTGATAAGACAAGGTTTTGAGATTGCCGACCAATCTAAAGTAGCAAATAGTAAAAATGTATTAATACATATAGTACAAAAGAGGATTGAGGAATTACTGAGGGTTGTCAAAGAATTCTCTTTTTGAGAACTTAGAAACTGTGAAAAAAGAGAGAGAAATGGCTTTTAATGGGAAATTCAAGGAAGCCTCGCTTTTAAAGCGTATTGTCGATGCGTTGAAGTCGACGATTGATAAAGTAAACTTTGACTGTAGTGATGCGGGGATAGCGGTCCAGTGTATGGATAACTCGCACGTCTCGTTAGTCTCGCTGTTGATTCAAACGGACGCGTTTGAAGAGTATAACTGCGCACAGACGTTTACGATGGGAATAAATTTGACGCACCTGTCGAAGATCTTGAAGGCTATCGATAACGAGTCGACACTGACTTTGTCTGTGAAAGATAAGAAAGACGCAGTCCTTAAAATTACATCAGAGAATGGAAATAAGGTCATTGAATTTGGACTCAACTTAATTAACATCGAAGAAGAGTCTGTGGAGATCCCAGAACTCGAGACGGGTGCTAAGGTCACGATGTTGTCTGCCGACTTCTTAAGGATAACAAAGGACTTTAGCGCACTTGGGGACGAAAGTGTTTCGATTGGAGCAAATAAGACGGAGGTCATTTTTAAGTCGTCGGGAGCGATGTGTGAGACTTCTATGGTACTCAAAAAAGACGAGGCGGTCGACGCTAACACTCTTGAAATTGAATGTAAACAAGAAGTCGCTGCTTCATTCGCACTCAAGCAAATTGCAGAATTCGCAAAGTCGGCATCACTTGCAGATAAAGTCGCGCTGTACATCAGAGCAGACTCTCCTATCACTATCGAATTCATGGGAGAGGGGTGTGAACTCAAATTCTATTTGGCCCCAAAATTCGACGAAGGACAGCCAGAAGCCCAAGAGTGATTTTAAACTTGTTCGTCTTTTTTATTATATTAATTTCTGTATTAGAATTTATAATACAAATTTATTATTCAAAAAGATTGAAAAACAATTTGTGGGTAAAAAATGTTTTTGAATGAATTTCTGGGGTCATATTTTATAATTGTTTTTTTAGGTTTTCTAGTATTTTTATCAAATTAGTTGATTTTAATTAATAGAACAAATATAGTAAAAATATCAGAAAAAACGGGAAATTAGGTGAAAGAAAAAGAAACTAATAAATGGTTTTTGTAGCAAGTAATTGACAAAACAGAATAATAGTAAAATACTAGTAAAAAAAGCTATACACTGTAGTTCAGCAAACGAAAAGAGAAAAAATGGAAAAGAGAGGAACTATAAAGAATAAGAACGAAACTAGAAAAGAATAAGACATGGAGCACAACCCAATAGAACCAGTTAATCCAAGCGGAGCGGAGACCAGTCAAGTCCAAAAAAAGAAAACTAAGAAAAAAGAGGGCGGATATGAAGATGTGGAAGAAATGGCCCAAGCGTTGTATATATATTGGAAGTCACGGGATATAGCGCGTTCTGGTGAATGCGACTATGAAGAAGCGAATGAAAGGGCAGAGTTTATGTGGAAGAATGAAGCAAATGAAAAGATCATCGATGAGTTTAAAAAGGCTGCTGCAGTACAAATAGTGATGTTAGGAGGAGAGTACATTGGGAACAAAAGGAAGAGACAAGTCAAAAATGAATTTGGGAAGAACCGAGCGGAGTGTAACCCTTTCTTATTGTTCTGTAAAGATCACAGAGAGAATGTTAGAGAGAAGGGAAGCAGAGGAAAAGGAATGACTACACTCTCTTCAATGTGGAAAGAACTCTCTGAGGACGAGAAACAAAGATACATCGGAAGAGCAAAAGTCAATAAAACAAAGGAACTGAAGGGTGAAGAGAACCCTACCGATCCAATCCATAAGGAAATAGATGAGAACTTCGAACATGGAAATACCGTCGACGCTCCACCAACAAATACACACACAACACCTACCACTCTAAATATCACAGAACCTCAAAAAAGTGCTCCACAGAGCACTGTTAGTACTAACAACCCAATCACTAATGTTGGAATAGATGTTATTGGAATGACGGCAATGAAACCTACACATGACTTCTTACAGCCATCGATCTAAACTATTTTTGGTTAATTTATGTTATAGAATCCTATTCTTTATAGCTTTTGGAACTATAATGTCTAAATTATACAACTACTTAAAAATTAACTAAAGGCGAACTATTTATTATTATAATACTTATCAGTTAATAACATACTATTAAAACGATTACTATTGAGATACTTTGAATAATAATATAAATATAGTAAAATATAATAATGAAGTATTATTGTGTCGAAACAATCAAAGAATTGAAGAAGACGATGGCAAGCGAAAGGAGTTATATTACTCACGTCCAAACACAAGAAGAAAGTCTTCCATATTACCAGAAAGCGAAACTGTTTGTGCAATGCGGAATTGTATGCTTAGAGTTTTTCTTCTTACAATTTGTGTGTGTGCTGATGCTACGCGCGTTTGGAGTGCGCGAGTACTTTATACAATCTTTGGCAGTTACTACTGTGGTCATTGGGTTCATGTTTACACGAAACGATAACTCGAAGGAAAAGATAACAGTTGAACGATTTATTCAAGAGATCACCGAAATCAAAGGAGGGAGCGCTAACATCAAATATGTTGTGTATGCCTTTGTCGGGTACGTTGGATTGTTGGGCTTGAGGTTTCTGCTGAATACGTTTAACATCGACGAGTCGCCGTTGTACGACAATTTTTATAAAGACGATCAATTTGACATCTCAATGGTTTTGGACTCCGTGCTGTTCTCAGTTATCACAGAGGAAATCGCGCTGAGGAGGAGTCTGTTTAACACGACGAAGAAATACACTCCACAATGGAGAAACTACTTGTACCCAATGTCCGCGTTGTGGTTTGGTCTTATCCACTTTGTGAATATAGGAACGTCTTCGTTCACTAATGTGTACGTCTTTTATCAGATGGGATATGGGATGGTTATGGGCTATTTCTTTGCTATATTCACAGACAAATTGGGCATCTTCCCAACCCTAGTTGTTCACTTCTGCAACAACGTGACTGCAATTTTCATGCCTTTCACATTATCATTTTTCTTGGTATTTTACTCGGTTATATCTGCTGCAATACTTGGCCTCATTTCTATCAAGTTGCTGAAGATCGATAACAACAAAACGGATTGACTTTATTTGCTTTGTTATGTTTACTGGTATGTTCATCTCTTTTTCTTAGGCAATTTTATTAAAATATGTAAGGTTTTTTGATTAAGATATTTTATATTTCATACCAAATCTGTGGAGTAAAGTGAATTCAACATCTCTTGGGGTGTCTGATGACAAAAATGAGTTTTCGGAGCAACACAACGCCAATAGCGATGAGTGGAAATATCGACCCCATTCCATATATCGCGAAAAGAAGAAACCAAAGTGGACTGGTGAGCATAGCACCAAAGAACAACACAGAAATTGTCTCAAGCACTTTCTGTACGACGAGAAGAAGTAACTGCATCAAAGAGATGGAAACGTCCTGTGTGAATATCCAAATGAAAAAGAGGACGTTTCTTTTGGTGTTATATAACATCGCACTAATGAGTAATAAAACAATGTTAAAGAAACTGCTTGGTAAGACACGTTGGGTACACTGCTCCATAGCTGGACGCATCCAAAAGAGTATACAAAGAACTGCTATGGAAACCGTCAAAACTCGCTTCTTTGAAGACTCTTCTTCTTGTAACATGTAATAGGTCCCCAACACACCAACTAACTCGATTAAACTGATTGTCGTCTCTGTCGCAAATAACCCGAATTTGAGACTCATGAAGAACCCAAGAAAACTCAGGATAATGCGAAGCGCCATTATAAAGCTGTTGTACTTCGGTTTCACCTCTAAATACCTCAAACTGTTGATTTCGATGTACGTGAAATAGATCGAAAGAAGGACACAAACTTCTCTCGACCATAATGAGATCTCATCAATATGAGTGTACACGCACTCTCTTAATAACGTTTGGTATATGAAAGAGTCTGACGCCTCGAGTCCTTGGAACGGTGGACATTCACAAACCATTTCTTTTAATAAATTCTCAGATTATTTAATAGTTTTCGAGCATTTTTCATTTGTATTTTGCATTAAAAATCGATGAAAACATCACACAAAATGAATTTTATTTCCCAATAAAACACATAAAATGTGGCAATAAACAATTCATTGAATTACTCGGACAAACCAAGTTCCCCCTTCCAATTGCCTTCATCCTTGATGTTGTAAAAGCCGGAAGTCACAGACTTGGATATTGCGATTTTAAATGCGTCCGTGATTTTCTCCTTTTTGAATGAAATAGAGATCGACCGACTTCTATCATTCCCTCTTGTGAGGGTTAGAGTATTACTAGAAGTACTAATTTCAAGGTCCTTCCCAATTTCAAATATTTTAAGAAGTTGGCTGGTCTTATCGTTCTTTCCAAAGAAGAAAATGGCATCATTACACACTTCGAGGACAACGGGCGTCTTCTTCTTGCCTTCTTTCAGTTCTCCTTTAGTTGTGTGGATTAAAAATCTTCCACTGATTACAAGCATCTCAGCCGCGTGTTCCTTCGCAACGGCAACAAGGGTGTCCTTCATCTTTTTGCGTTCATTCAATATTGTACAGAAGTTGTGGAAGTGTTTCCGAGCCTTATTTAATAATCCGTAGTCTGGATTATAATATGACGTGCCCTTTATAATTGCATCGATCAATAGAGGGTATCTCATCACTCTTTGCACTGGTTGCACCAAAAGTTGTTCGAGTGTTTGTGGTTGGATGAACTTGATAGCTTCATTCACCGTACTCTGCCCTAACGCGCTTTGTTTCATCATCTTCCAGTAATCGACGATGATGTCGTACTCAATACTATACCTCAAATACGATGTCATGAACTCCAGAATGCCATCTATAGTACTCCCAAGTGACGTGTCATATTTATACATCAAAAGTGTATTATCTAGAACCTTTACAATAGACTCTCCTGATGTTATGCATTGATCAAGATGTCCAAATACCTTGTCGTGGTTCTTATCACTCGCCAAAGGCAAAGAGAAGTGTTCTTTAATCAAATTCATGTTCTTTAGAAGACTCTTCTCCGTGTCGACAAATTCTTTGAACGCTTCTAGACGCAATTTGATAGAGTCGATGTTGTACTGATTGAGTAACATGTGGTGCCGCACCATCTTCTGGATGTAAAGTATGCTGTTGATGTAATTCTCATTTTCCTCATTCTGTGCGAGACTTTCCTTCATCTTCCCATCAAATTTCGAAATCGACTTTTTCGACTTTGTCCGCAACGGGGCTTTCAACTTGAGTTTTGTCAACTCGGAGACGCTCAATTCTGTCGAGCTTTCAATACACGGTGTTGAATTAAGTGACTTTTTATTTGGGCTGAATTCATTGTTTGAGGTTGGAGATGTTGTTATCAGAAAGTCACTTGGAGAGTTGACAATCCCAAGAGAGCTCTTTCTTCTGATGTGCAATTTCTGTTTACTATCTGGTGAATTCAGTTGTGGTGATCCGACTGTCATGGGGTCTTGGTCTTTCAGTTGTGTTATTTCTTGTATATCTAACGAACACCGCACGGCACACCAATGTCTTAATTGGTCGAAGGATTCCCTTTGACTGTATCGTGGGTACTTTTCCATTGCTCTTATATAGAACTCTTTCTGAGACTTTTCAGAGTCGAAGAGGATGATCGATTTTATCAAAGTGGCATCGAGTCGTTGAATTATTTGCTGTGTCAAAAATTCTTCATTGAGTGGAAGGATGTATGTGAATATATCGGGAATACGAACTCCAAACCTGAGAAGGGCAAGTGCGACAAACAGTTCATTAGAAACTAGAGGTGGCCCCATTGGTGTAATTAGGTAATTGAAAAAGATCGGCAATTGTTCTTCAAGTAACGTATCCACGTTCAATTCAATTCGATCAGATTTCTGTGTTTTTTGTAACAAAAGTGGCGCACATGTTTTCTTGACGTGTTCAGGTTCAAAACAGCGCTTTGGTATCGCAAATTTTTTAGAGTTCAAAGTCACGTGGAGCAATTGAGGTGTAAAAGTGTGTTCGTAAAACGCGGTCATTTGTGCGGTGGTGGATTGCTCGGGTTTTCTTAAATAACTTTGTTTTAAGCGTGGAGAATGCATATCCTTTTTTAAGTTGAAGGTTCACTTCTTTTTGAATGAATTTTATTAACTAGAAAAAACAAAAGGAATTATATATGTTCGAAGTTTTCGGTGTAAAAATTGTTGAAAAAAACGGGGTTGACTCAAGTGTCTTTTCCTTATTATAAATGTTCTGTTTTCTTTTCATTTAATTTTGTATTTACAATTGTAACATGTTTTAACAGTATTAATTAATTGTTTTATTAACTATTTGTTATTAGTAAATTTGAAGCTTTTGCTAAGTATGTTCCTTTATATTTTTAACAGCACGGTTGATCATCTTTATTATTAATTATAATTTATTATTATTAATTAAGTTGGGTTAGAGCTTACTATTTAATCAACCATCTTGGTAGTTAATATGAAAAGAATTGAGTGATTTTATTTGTTTCGATATAATTATTAACAAATGCACTTGAATGTAGTCACAAATCGGGAATATGCAAAAATATAATTTTTTAAATATATTTAATTAAACAATTAGAAAAACAAATTATATAAAAAATAAATAATGAAATTAAAAATTTATTAATCTGAATTGTTTTTTTATCAATGCTAAAAAATATTAAGTTTTTTTCTTTGAAAAGTAAATAATTTTTCACATATATTTTCAAATATTTTTAATAAGGTTACAAATAATCAAAACTTCATTGTTTCAATAATAAATAATTTTATAACAAATTAATAAATACTTTTTGAAATTTTATGTTTGTTTTTTATATGTGTTTATTTTTGAGTTAATTATATTATTCATTTTTTAAATTTTTTTGTTTTACCATTAATGTTTTTTACGAACATGTTTGTAAGTATAATTTTTGTATCGACACGACACAGTGTTTGTCCATAATAGTTAAATAACACATTGATCATATGTATTAGTCGTTGTACATTCATTGACTATTATTCATTGATTTGGTCAAAATTTGGCTGTTTTATAATGAATTAAATTGAATATAGTTTTAATTGGTTTTATTTCTTGTAATAAATCAATTTCCATGTTTTCTCTTGAGCGATGAGAATACACTACATACCAATAAAACCACAAGGGTTTTTAATACCAATTATTATTGGAATGAAACAATGTTTAATCAATTTGTTCACATTATTGTTGATACAAACCCAGTGTTAAAAGAATAAAATTATGCACAACATTGTTTTAATTTCTTTTTGAAAAAATGCAATAACTAATTACATATTTTGAAAAAAATCTATTGTTTTTATAAAATTTAAAAGTTATTCATTTAGTGATTATTACATTTTCGACAATTAACAATTGAATCATCAAATTATTGATATAATTATCTAAGGTGATAATTTTCAATAATTAAATATGAATAATTTCTGATAATTTTATAATTTATTTGTCGTTCGAAAAATAAAAAAAATAAAAAATCAATAAATTTTATTTATAGTAAATTCAATTATATTAGATAAATAATTATTCAATTATTTTGAATAATATACTATGTTTAAACTATATTTTTCTAGGTGTTTTTTTTTTTTTTATTTTTTTGAATTTATAAAATATGTTTTTTTATTGTTATCTTTTTAATAATAGTGTTATAGTATTTATATAAAATAAAAATGACAAATTATATGACTTTTAAGTTTTCAATGAGGCTAATCTAATTATAAAAACAATTCCAAACAAATGTTTTTAAAGTTTATAAAAAAATATTATGAAACTTTAATAATAAAATTTATATATTAAATTGTTGTTTAAAGAATAGTACAAAAATGAACAATTCACTTTTTTTCAAAGTTTTTAGGGCATACTAGTGGATGGACGTCTATCCACTGGATAAGCGTCCATCCAGTGGATACACGCTTTTTTGCTGGATACAAATATTTTTTAGTAAAATAAAGTCAATTTTGTCATTAAAAAAAAGCATTTATTTTAAAATAATAAAAATTTTTTTTAAAAAATAATATCACCAAATGTTGTCATCTGCCACATCACTACGTTATTATTATCATTCAATATGTTAATTATGATACTTTTATTAACATTATTTTTTTTAATTTAACATTTTTTTTAATTTACAGGCTAATTTATTCATATTATCGTTAATTTTTTACTTAATTGAATACATTGATTCCAATTAAATTTGTTCGTTAATATTTGCTCCTTATTAAAAAAACAACTTGTTAAATAACATACTAAAAATATCAAAACAAAACTGTTTTTTAAATTGTTTTTTATAGCGGTATCAGATAAATGATCTTGTTAATGATACATTGTAATGATAAGTAATTTACACTACGATCTACAAAATGTATTCCGATATGCCAAGTATAGTTTTATGTTGGTAGTTGAATAAAAAGTATAGTAAAACGAAAAATCGAGAACTTGAAATAAAATTGGGTTATTTTTTTCAAAATTTTGGGAGATCGTCCTAAAAAGTTGCTGTGGATGGATCGATTTCGGTGGATGCGTTAAAACAGCTATATTTAAGCTATTATATCGGGATGTTTGATTTATGGGATTTTTGACGTTTTCAACAAAAACCAAAAAAAATATCGGTAAAATCTGTAAATTGTTACCTAAGAAATAACACTGACTCTAATTGTATGACCGATATAAAAAACAAACAAATAAATATTTTAAAATGACTCTCGTTTTGCTCTATATTATAAACATGCTAAAAGTTAATAATGAAAATAATTTTTATTATAAATATATTTCTGTTTGCAGATCAAATATAATTAAAAAAGATAAATTTTGGTAAATCTAACATTTACTAAATTTCTTTTTTTAATATAATTAAAAAACACAACAAAAAGTTAAGTTTTACAAAAAGAAATTAACTTTATTTTTAACAATAAAATATGGATGATTGAACATGATTTGCTGAATTTGTAATTATATTTTGTTGAAAACGTCAAAAATCCCATAAATCAATCATCCTGAAGTAATAGCCCAAATGTGGCTGTTATAACGCATCCACCGAAATCGATCCATCCACAGCAACTTTTTAGGACGATCTCCCAAAATTTTGAAAAAAATAACCCAATTTTATTTCAAGTTCTCGATTTTTCGTTTTACTATACTTTTTATTCAACTACCAACATAAAACTATACTTGGCATATCGGAATACATTTTGTAGATCGTAGTGTAAATTACTTATCATTACAATGTATCATTAACAAGATCGTTTATCTGATACCGTTATAAACTATAAAAAACAAAACAAAAAATTAACCCGAAAAATAAAAAAAACATTCTTGTGTTTAAAAACGTGAAAACAATACTATTTTTTACGAATTTTTTTAAATGTTTCGGTCTTGGCAATAATCACCTAAACACGTTTATCATTAATCTTCTCCGTGAAAGAGAATGAATATTATTTGGATAAGAGTCTTTTTGGCAAAATCGATCTCTGTTTTTTCAAAATTTTATTTTTTTTTCAATTTTTTGGTGCCCGATATTTCAGTCTATTTTTCCCTTTTATACACCAATCCACTAAAAAACTCCAATCCAGTGTCATGCCCTTATTATTTAACCACCGAAATATTATAATAAAAATATGATAAAAGTATTATTTCCTTGATCTCCAAAAAAAAATAAATTATTTGGTATTACAATTTCTATAATAATATAATAAGAATTATACTTATTATTCTTATAAAAACCTAAAAAATTTTAGCTTTTAATACAAATTCGTACATTTTAACGAAAAATGTTACTATTTATTTTACAACCATTTTTTAAAAAAACGAGGGTACGCGATTTCGATAAATTGTCAAATATAATAACAATAGATTGACTTTTAAAATAAATGTTTTACATTTATTTCATTATAAATAGCAAGAGTTATGACAATCTATAAAAAAATTATATTTTTAATTAAAAGGCCGACAATCTCCATGTTTTTGTTATAAATTATATACATAACATCCCGTTACAATCCATATAGTTATAAGAACATACCAAAAACAATTTTGGGAAAATGAGAAACACATAAGAAAAAAAATCCAAGTGTTTTTAATTTATTTCACTAATTCTACGACAAATTATGTCAATGAATCAGCTCAAGTAGATTGTTTGCAATCCAAAAAGAGACTCAAAAAACTAGTAAAACAAATTGATGTTTCTTCTATTACTTTTAATTTACACTCAGACAACCCTTTCTTCAATAAATGACACTGTGGAATGTACACCAGGGTGTTCGACAGAGTGTTTGGTGACTCACACTTGTCAAGACAAATGTAACTCTGGGTTTGAGCAAGACAACAGTTGTTCCAGATGTGCTCAATATGATGAAACAGCGGCAATTAGTGATACCAATCAGTTGTACACTCCTGTAGACGACGAATGCAAATTGATTGACCCTTCTCTAATACAACAAAAAACATTTTTGGTACCAGACGATGTTATTGTAGTCAACAAAAATGAAGAAATTGTTCTCAATTTTGTATCTACCACTAAATATGACACGGGACCTTGCAGAAGCAAAGACAACAATACACATGACTCATACAGAAGAAGTTTTTGGATGACTTACCCATTCACCCAACTCAACTTAGACACTCAAAATGTCAACTTCTCAATTTCGTTTGTTGGAAGTGTGAAAGAAGAGGTTCGGATAGACACAACTGACTTTCGAAAAAGCATTGGAGAAAGGTGCTTTACTCGAAACATCTTGCGAGCAACTAAAAATACAACGTCCTTCATTTTACCACTTCCTCGTTATCCTACAAGTTGGGAAGAAGAGAAGTCCCTCAGCTTCTTTGTATATGTCTCGAGTGTGTCAAATGTGTCTGTCAAAATTCGTATTGACGAAATTGGAAAATATGAAATCCCAGAGACCATTGTTATCCCTCAATCTTTCTATGAAGTCATTGCGAAGAAAAAGTACTATTCCCTCAATTTGAATTTATATGATCTGGGCTACAGCTTCTACCCGCCTTGTATGCCAGATAAGTTAGTGAAAGGGATTTACATTCGATTTTTATTTGATAGCGACTACACAATGCTTATCGACTCGACTTCAGATAACCGAATAAAGTACATGGAAGAAGTTGAGACGACCAACACGTCGAAGTGTAAAACACTGTGGGTTGGTCAAGGGTATGGGAAGAATAGTAATGTCCTTAAAGGACTTTACATTGCAATTCCAAAAGGAAAGACTATGGGAAGGAGGTTTGGGATATATACAGAGGAGCAAGACATCACTATTCCATTTGCGAACACCCTTTTGTGTAAAGACAACTGCCACTATGAAGAAGGGTTTGGTAAATGTTCTTCACGTGAGAAGAAGTGTATTTGTAATGAGAAATATGGTGGTGAAAGTTGTATTAAAAAGTGTTATTATCAAGGGGAGTGGACTGATGGAAGTACCGGAGAAGGGAAGTGTTATTTTGGGAGTGACGGGTGTAACGAAAATTGTTATTGTCACGAGAATTACACGTTGAACGACCACTTATGTATTTCACCGAATTGTTTGTCGGGCTCCATTGACACAGCTACGAACTGTTATTCGACCAAAGAGGGGTGTAACGTGAATTGTTTATGTGAAGATGGGTTCACTTTAGTGAATGGGTCGTGTAAATCCAACACCTGTGGAAACAATCAAATTGATGTCAAACCAAATGGAAGAGAAGAAGAGTGCGATGGTGGTATTAACTGTGATAATTACTGTAATTGTTACAACGGCTTTAAACAAGATCTTACTAACAAAACTTCATGTATTGCTATTGGAGTGTCTGATAAGACACTTGGTCTCTCTATTGGATTTGGTACATTAGGTTTATTGTTACTATTAGTCGTCATTGTAGTGTTGATTTGTGTTTTGTTCTTTAAAACAAAACGGACTGATTTGTCAGTGTATAAAGAACAACAACCGACGTACCACTTCTACATCTCGGGAGCTACAAAAATAGAAGAAGACACTAAAGTCGCATTCAAACTTGGACCAGACGAATTGGACTTTGGAAACAAAGAAACGTCGACTTCTATATTTGATACTCGATTTGAGAGAATCCAAGTCGTCAATAACTCGAAGAAAAAGATGCTAATCATTTTCCATACCCCTACAAACCCCAAATTTGTATTCCATTTTGATCCACAATATTTGATCATTCACTCAAGAAACATTAAACACGTTGTCACGTGCTTTATGACCATTTTTTGTACAACAAAATTACAAGGAATGAAGATACCATACACCGTTTGGTTCAGTAAGAGCCGAAAAACGCTCGAGCAGATCGAACAGACTCTTCGCGACAAAACCTTTGAAGAGTGGACGTCGACTGATCAACTTGGAATGGAACAATTGCTGAAGAAAGTCTCGAGTCGGATGTACGGCTTTATCAAAATCAATACCACAGCGACGGCATCGACACATATTGATATGGATGAGCTCAATTTAAGAGAGCAGCCGATAGCAGAAGGCGCGATGGGTGTTGTGTTCTTTGGGGAATATCGGAGTATGCCTGTCGCCGTCAAGCAATTTCGGTGGGAGAATTTGACTGATGAAGAGACCATTGACTTGAAGCGGAGTGTTGTCCACGAGTGTGAAATGATGAGTAAACTCAGAAATCCATTCATAGCAAATTACATAGGATCGGTCACATATCTTCCCCAAGTGTGTATGGTCATCCAATTCTTCGCTTTGGGATCATTAGGAGAGTATTTGCGAAAGGGGAGTGACGAGTACTTAGAACTTCCGTATCACCTCAAATTGAGAATTCTATTTGACACCGCAAGAGGAATGCAATTTCTTCACGAAAACAAAATAATGCACTTGGACTTAAAACCAGACAATTTACTCGTCAACTCCCTCTTTAACAGCTCTCCGTGTTGCGTCAAAATTACTGACTTCGGAACATCAAGATTCAAACTCAATGGCAAAGACAAAGGACTCGGAACACCAATATATAGTGCACCAGAATGTTATTCGGATTGTTATTCGTTTGCAAGTGACGTGTATGCATTTGGTGTGACAGCGTGGGAAGTGTATTACCAAGAAGAGCCGTTTAAAGAACTTAAATCACTCTTTGATATTAAGAAACACGTCACATCAGGGTTAAGACTCAGATTTGAAACGTGCATAAATGAAGGAATGTCGGGGTTGATTAACCATTGTTGGTGTCAAAGCCCTGAAGAAAGATACTCCTTTGAAAAGATCTCTTCGAAGTTGGTTGCTTTGATCGACGAAAATGAAAAGAACAGCTCGAGTGAAAATGTGGATGAAAGCGCAATTGAGGCGTTCGTTCAGAAGAGAAATGAAAGACTCAAAAAATTGATGGGCGATGACTGAAAATAAAATCTTAAAGATAATTTGTTTATGTTACTATATATTTTGTTTAAAATATTTTATTTTCTTTTGAAATGTAATACGAAGTTGATTGTTTAAACAAACTTAAGCAAATTTGTCTTAATAGAGAGTGTAATTTTATTTAATTATTTTTAAATAAAAAATTAAATAATTATAATATTATTTCTTAATAATATAAAATAGTAAAAAGAATTAATTTAATTAATATAATAAAATAAATTATAGTTTTATTAGTCAATAATAATCTATTTTATTATTAATAGAATTGTTTTAATTAAATAGTAGTATAATTATAATATTATTAATTTTTTATAATAATTAATAATAATTTAAAAACTATTTTAAAAAATAACTCGATGAAACAAAACAGTAAAATACCTTTAAAACAGAACAATGGGGATTAGAACGAAAACTTGCTTGGGACTCTTTGAGAAGTATTAAAATTGAATTCACCGCCTTGTGTACTTAAATAAGCTGGTGGTGGTGTTGATTGGATATCAGTGTTAAAGTCGAACTTCCCGAATTTATCGTCACCAACAAATTGTGTCTCTCCAAAAGTGAAGTGTTCGTTCGATTGAGTGATTTTTGAAGTAGGCAGTGTACGACCGTCTGCCTGGAAATCGAAAGTCTCTGTTTTATTAGTGTCTTGTGTTTTATCGAAAGCGGTTGATGAAAAGTCGAAACTTTCATGTTCGATTTTTAGTGGAGTTTTTACGCTCGAAGGATTTTGATTGAAGTCGAATTGCTCGAACTCGGCCGTCTTTTCCTTTTGTGTTTCTTTCTTTTGTTGAGTGTCAATATCCTTTTGTTGAACTGCGCCGACTCTATAATTCTTGTACTTTTTATGTTTCTGTGGAGTTGGTTTAACAGTGACTTCCCCCGTCATTTCTTTTGGAGTGTCTTTTTCTCTTTCGACTTGTTGTGGAGTTTTTTGAGGTTCCATATTTTGTTTTTTCTCTTCTATTTGAGCACCTTCACGTGTTCCAGAGACTTTCAAAGGGATTCTTGGGGATTGTGTGACTTGAGTGTTTTGAATGCCTTGATTTGGTTGTACTATATTTGAACTATTAACTTCACTTTTAATAGTAAAAGGTCTTCGTTTTGAATAAAAAGGATTCTGGAGTTTTGTAGCGTCTGTTATTTCGCCAAGGACTTGAAAGATATCTGCCCTATCGTCCGGGTTAACTATAAATATCATCGAAAAGAGTTTTTGCATGAAAGACGTGCAATTTGGCATCACATATTTGGCACCACAGATTTTCATGGGACTTTCCTCAAACGGCGTTTCAAGCATCAAACACTTGTAAATTAAACACCCGAGAGCCCACACATCACTTTTACAGCCAATAGGCATGTACTGATACAAACTAATCATTTCAGGAGCTCTATAAGCCATTGTAGTCATCTTTGATATCTCCTCCTCTACTATCGCGCAGTCGCCTTGTCTTCGAATCAAAGCGTTTTCTTCAATTGCACTTCCAAAGTCAATCAACTTGAACTTTCTGTCTTCTGAGAACAACACATTTTCGACTTTAATGTCTCTGTGGACTATTGGCGGGGTGAGGGAATGAAGGTAACAAATTGCATTAGCAAGTTGATAAAATATACCGAGTGTGGCAGACTCCGGGAGCGGATTGGGGTATCCCTTCTGCAGTATTTCGACTAATGTATTCGGACAGTATTCCATTAACATAAGAACTTCCTTTCGTGGGTTAGAAAACGCGGCTGATCTACTTGTGACTTCATTATTAACTTAATAACTATTATTTTATTATTACAAGAGAAGTGACTTAATATATATGAATATCAGACAAACATATACAAATTCGCGACAAAAGCATTCTGACAACACCGCTTGTGGATTGTTATCTCCTTTTTAATTTGTTCAAGTCGGGTTTGGTCGAAGTACGGCTGAGCTTTGAGAGCATATGTCTGTGAGGGGTTGTTTTGTGGGTGCGCCAAGTACAGTTTTGCAAACCCACCACTGCCTATCTCTCGCTCGATTAACAGTGTTTGATTTCCAATGATAATTGGTGTGTTTCCCATTATTCCTTTTTTCCTTTGTCTTTTGGAGTTGAGAAAAGACGAACCACGTTTTCAGGTCAAATGATATTATTTTTGCGATATTGTGGCGCAAAAAGGGGGGTTTTACATTCAAAAGATAATAAAAATGGATATAACCAATTTCAATTGATTTGATTGTTCTTTGGTTTTTCTTGTGTTGGTTTTCTATATTTTGATGTGGAGAGTTGTAAGTTACAAATGCTATATTATATTATTATGATAACTATAATTTGAATTATAATGCAGTTGAAAAAAGTAAAGCAAAACAACTTTTAATTTTACAGTTTTTTTGGTAAAAACACAGTTTATTATTGATTGTTATTTTTTTATAGACGTATTAAATTGCATTTTTGATTCTTTTTTTAATTCTTATTATTATTATTAAAAAGTATTGTTTTATTTATTATTTCATTTAAATTATAATAATAAAAGTAAATTGGTTAATTAAAAACGCATTTTAGATATTTTGTAATTTATAGTAAAAGAATAAAACACTTTTGGGAAATTTATAGTTTTATTTACAAATTGTTATTAATAAAACATTGGTTATTGTTTAGTTCGTGTTGATTTTGTTGTGTCAAAAATATAATTGTATATGTTGTAGTTTTGGTCAAAATATTTCAGTTCTTATTGCCATATTTTGTTGATTTAGTTATTAATATTAAAAATAATATTTTTGTTCATCTTGAATAACATATAAATAATTTTTTGTGGTTTTTTTGAACTTTTGACTGATTAACTTATTGGAATTAATTGTTTAATTTATTTCTAGTTTTATAATATTTACTATAAACAATAAAACATTATACTCAAAACAGGGTCCTCCTTTTTCTAAACCCTTGTCATAAAAATTGTAAACGTGGCAAATTCATAAAACGTGGCAACTTTGAATTGAAAATAATCTATATCGATAATAAAATATATTAATATCGGCATTTTTAAAAAGATGGCTTTTAAAACAAAAATTTTGTGAAGCCACTTTAAAACAAACAAGATAGTGTTAAATAATTTCAAAATAAAAATTAAAAACATCAGTTAATTGTTGTTGTTAAACAAAACATAAAAATTACTAAATTTATAATAGTTCCATTTTATTGAGAAGTCTGTCTTTGACGTACATTCTCGCTCGTAACGAATTGTGAGCAAAATTGTTTTTGTTGTATCTTTTCAGTAAAGAAAGACTGGATTCACATATAGCAGTGGTGAGTGACATTGCAAGAAACATTGCTAATAAACAGTAAAGTTTAGATCCACTTTCAAAAAATGGTGCATATTCAAGTAAGTCCAAAGACGAACTTAGATCCCAAGGATTTAAACGTCGTGTCAGTACCACTTTTTTCTGTCAGAGTCTTTCGACGGAAAGCCTCAAGATCCGGAGCTTTTCTGAGCCTATTCATTTCATCCTGGAGATATACAGTATTTAAATTAAGAGGCTTTTTGTTGTAATGTAATCGTCGAAGTTCATTGCCAATTCATAAAAATCATCCAACTGTCCAAATTCATCTGTTTGTAATTGTTTAGACAGTAGACTGTTACCCATTTTTTGATATACTCGACGCTGATTACATGATATACTGGAGCGTTTCATTTTATTTTTTTGAGTTCTTTATTTTATTATCTATAAAAAACTGTTATCTAATTACAAAAGTACTCATGTTAATAATTTAAAATAACAATAAACAAATAATAATTGTTTTGTTGATTTATTTTTACTTTTTTAATTTTGTATTAATAATCTGATCTTGGTCAAATAAGGTGATTTTTGCTTTGTTTTTTTAGCTCTGTATTTTTCCAAATTCTTTTACTATTATTTTTCATTTGTAACCCTTGTCAAAAATATACTAAAGAGTGTTAACGTGATAAAGCATATCCACACGGAAATGGTGAATCCCTGTGGATTGTAATATTTTGTGTGGATAGCCTCTTATTTTTTTGTCGAAAAAAACCAAATATTCGTTTTAAACCATATGTTATGATTTTTAAAATTAATAATTGTTATTTTTAATCATTTATGGGACAAAAATCATATACAAACATGGATACCCCCATAAGGAGTATTTCCAACTTTTGCAATAATTTCATAGTAAGAAAAAACGCTATTTTCAGCCTTTTTTCGGAGTGGCAAAATAAGAATAGATCAAAATGAACAAATAAAATGATTAACAAAATTTACGTGTATTATCCCGTTTATTTGATACATGTAACGCTATTTTTGTCGTTTTTTTAATTGAAAAAACATTTCAAAAGTGATTTATGTGATTATAATTTGGGAAAATTTCCGTTTTTTGCATTAAAAAATATTTAATTTTAGTATCAATTTTAAATGATATTATTTAATTGTTAATCGTGGCTCAAAAATGCATTTATTATCACTTTTTACTAATAGTATTGTAATTTATATAAACACTCCATTAGTTTATTATTTTAATAGTAATATTTGGGAATTGAAATTTGTTGAATAAAGTTCTTTTAGTTGGCGCAAATTATACGTATAAAGACGGGTTTTACATCCTAAATTATATTCTGGTTTTGTTGAAAATGTTAAAGATTGAGGTTTTATGTCTAAACTAAACTATTAATTAATAACAATAAATTATATTACAATAGTATAATATTAATCAACATAAAAATGACAAAATAATCACAAAACAAATTCTATTAACATAGTTAAATGGTATTATATTTTTACTATAAAAAAGTTAAAAAGTAAATGGCAAATTACCACATTGTTACCATAAGTTATTATTTATGTTATTAAAAAACCATAACAATACAAGTTAATTATAACAATAACATACGGCAAATACCAACAAAAACCATCAAAAAATACAAGTCATATTAATCATTTCATCTAACATGTAACAATGAAGATTGTCTGTCTATATTTACCATCCACACCTTTTTAACCTATCCACACTAAACTATGCCTCAGTATTTTATGACGAATTATTTGTTATTTTTCAAATTTTTCAATTTCAATAATTTTTTTGATTGAATATAGTTTATACAATTAATTAAATAAACTAAAGTTAATTAATTAAAAACTTTAGTGTTAAAATTTTTAACAAAATTGTTTTTTTTTGCGGCAAATTCATTTAAATGGTAAAAGTAAAAGATGACTTTGACTAAAAATAAAATTTGTTTTTTCTGTTTTAACTTTTAAAAAAATCGGTTTTTTATGAATTCGGTCCAAAAAACCCATTTTTTGTAAAATCTTAGGCAAATTTTATATCAATTACAACAAAAATGTGTAAGATTTTCAAAGCCATCCACACAAAAGTGGTCTATCACGTTAACACTCTTAAATTGGAGGACCCTGCTCAAAACAATAAAAATAATTCTGTTGGTATTAAAAAAAATGATTTTAAATTAAAATTTTAAAAGTAATAAATAAATTATTTTGTTAATAAAAACAAAATATAAAAACAATACTTGAAAAATGTTATAAAAGGACATTTTCCCCGTGTCTGTCCTTTGTATTTGTAAGTTTACAAACAGCTCTCCTTCAATTTCCAATACTATTGTATGATATACACCCATCGCCTTTCCTTCACACAAAATCGAAACACATCAAATTTTCACAAATGCAAATTAGCGTTTACATTTTCAGATGAAAAGAAGTCAAACTCCACTCCTTTACGTCGTTTAAAACAAATAGTAAAAAGAATTAATGAAATAGTAAAAAGAAAAATAGGGAACTTTTAAACCATAGAGCATATGCAAGGCACCCAATTTGATTCCACACCCGTTCGTGTCTTGAAAGCAGACGCACAACATATAGTTGGTGATACTGCACGTATGACTGCTACTGTTGGTGCAATTGCCATAGCTGACTTAGTTAAGACGACATTAGGTCCAATGGGGATGGACAAAATCTTAGTCGGCTCGACGGTTGGCGACAACGTCACCATCACAAACGACGGCGCGACCATCTTAAAAAATGTTCGTCTTGAGAACCCAGCGGCTAAGGTGTTAGTTGAGATCTCTAAGACGACTGACGAGGAAGTTGGCGACGGGACCACATCCGTCACTGTCTTAGCTGGTGAGTTAATGCGCGAAGCCGAGAAACTGATGGCGGAGAAGATTCACCCTCAAATCATTATCGAAGGGTGGCGCGTCGCTTTAAAGGCTGCTCAAGAGCGATTGGGGTCGATGCAGTTCAATGTCTCGAAGGAGGACCCGAACTACAAAAAGCGCTTATTAGACATCGCGCGCACCACACTGTCCTCCAAAATCTTAGCAGCGGAGAAGGAGAAGTTTGCGGAAATTGCTGTCGAGGCCATCGAAAAGATCGGAGACTCGGACATCGAGAACGTCGTCATCTTACAGAAGATAGGCGGGGAGATGAGAGAATCATATTTGGAGGACGGCTTCTTGCTAGAGAAGAAGTTTGGGACGTCACAGAAGAGGTTTTTGGAGAACCCTAAAATTATGGTTGCGAACACGGCGATGGACAACGATCGCATCAAAATCTGGAGCGGGAAGGTCCGAGTCGACTCTGTTGGGAAAGTTGCTGAAATAGAGGAGGCTGAGCGCACACGTATGATTAAGAAGTGCGAAGCAATCAAAGCGCATGGCGTCACTTGTTTTGTGTCGCGACAACTCATCTACCCTCTTCCGGAACAATTCTTTAGTGCCAATGGGATAGTGTCGATTGATCACGCTGATTTTGACGGTGTCGAGAAAATCGCGAAGTTGTCGGGTGCGGAGATCTTGTCGACTTTTGATCATCCGAATGAGGCCAAATTGGGGAGTTGCAAGGTTGTTGAAGAGATAATGATTGGGGAGGAAAGCTTAATTCGCTTCTCTGGATTCCCACATGGTGGTGCGTGCACTGTAGTGTTGCGCGGGTCATCGAAACAGTTACTTGGGGAGATGGAGAGAAGTCTTCATGATGCGTTGTGTGTGTTGCATGTTGTGAAGAAAGACACCAAAATGATATGTGGGGGTGGATGTGTTGAGATGGAGTTAAGTCTTGCTGTTGAAGAGGCTGCGAAAAAGACGGAAGGGAAGAGAGCGTTAGCAGTGGAGAGTTTTGCACGAGCGTTGCGACAACTTCCGATGATCATAGCGGACAATGCCGGGTATGATTCAGCCGATTTAGTTGCTCAACTTCGAGCAGCGCATGCGAATGGAAATATCAAGAATGCTGGATTGAACATGGATAAAGGGTGTATTGATGATATGATGGCAACAGGGATTATTGAACCGTTTGGAGTGAAGAAGCACATCTTAACTGCAGCGACAGAAGCTGCTGAAATGATCATTCGAGTCGACCACATCATCCAAGCCGCACCAAGAAAAAGAGAACAGAAGTAAATTGAAATCCAGTCGATTTAAGCAGTTAGGGTTAGCGAGGGTTTTTAGTTGATTATCCAGTTTTTCCATATTTTTGAGAATAGAAGTGGAAATTTTTTTCATACATTTGTGAGGAAACTAAAAAAATAGAAAGATGTATAAAGTCCAACAATACGAAGAGAACGACAACTTTAAGTATACTCCACAACAGACGGAACGAATGGAAACACAAGAGGCTATTGTCGATTTTTTAAAGAAATTTTATCAAATCATAGTGCCAGTCATCAGCGCAGTCATGGCTGTTGTTAAACTTGGATTTGCTCTTCGACTGAGTCTTGTAATAATGTCTAAGTCGTGGTTTTGGGTTAAGAGAGACTGGCAAATCAAGTTGGGCCCACAACTTAATCCATACCATTTGGTCCTCCTCGACTTGTTGTCATGCGGATTCTTCTGTGTCATCCCAATCTACGTCTTTATTATTAAGAAAGCAATCGATCAATCGTTTTTGCTGAAAAACATTTTGGCGTGCGTCATTCTCTTTGTTGTCTTGTTATTCTTCACGTACTTCATTGGGGCATTTTGGCTCATCGGAATCAATATTGTGCTTTACACCGCTTTCTTCTGGTGCGATTATGTACTCAAAAACGTGTATAACGTCTCCATCAAACTCAACAAGGCTTACTCTGTCTGAGATAGGGTCATAGTCTAACAATTTTTTACTATTCTTTTGGGTTTGCAATCATTTGTTATTTTTTGCATGAGAAAAACGGGTCTCGAACAACAGTAAGTGACATTATCTAATCTTTTTAAATAGTTTTGTGATAATATCTATTACCAATGAACATGTTGTTGTTCGAATTTGTAATCATTTTAATTGCCCAAAAAGTCAACCATTTTAACTTTGGGCTTGGACTTTTTTAAAAGTGATTAAATATTCTAATTTATTAATATTAAATATTAATATTATATTAATAGTATGATATACTATTTTTATAATATATTGTTATTATATATAACCATAATTAAGTATAGTAAAAACTTTATTTTCTTTTAATTTAAATAATTTAATGTAATAACAATGAAATGATTTTGTTTGATTTAAAAAAAAATTGGAAATGGGGTATTATATAATTATAGTAAATTTAATTAATTGAGTTATCATGTAACAATTTACTTAAAAGATTTAATATATTTATAATAATATAAGGAATTAATTAATTATAACTTTCAAGGGAATCGAACTAATAGAATTACAAACTGTGAATCACCCTGTTTCCGTGATCTTCACAACTCCAGTTTCCATGTCAAAACTCGAACCATTTTACCTTTCAAGTGTATTGTTATACATCACTCATAGGAGTGTTCTTACCACTTTTCAAGCGGTCAACAAGAAGTGCAATGACGCAATTCAAATGCTTCGCATTAACCCGCCACTCTTTTTCTTTCGCCTTCCTTTCATCTTCAATTTTTTCCCAAATCTGTCAACCCTACGTGGAAACCTGATCGAATTCCAAAACTCGATTTCTAAAGAGCAACTGACTCAAATCAGTTGGATAGAGTCAACAGTGATCATCCCATTCAATTTAATTAATACATCTTTGTATAATAAAATCACGGAGATTCGTCTGAGTCCCGTATGTGCTCTTGAGTGCTATAAACTGATGAACTTAAGACGGCTCTTTATCTTCTGTGAAGCTGAAAACACACTTCTTTTGACAAAACTACCACAACATTCTGTTCTCAAGAGAATTGGAATATACCACGAATCCCCACTTACAGAATTCGAGTCTAACAACTTCATACAGAACGCTAAGAGACTTCTGAACGTCGAATTTGTGCTCAACACAAAGAGCAACTGCAAACACCTTGTATTCCTCAAGAACGTCACTACAATTAATAACTTCGAACCAACCATTAATACAGATAGACAGTGCGAAAGTCCTGTTACAAAGGTCGATTTACACCTCGACGTGCTTGATGAGTACTCTGCGAAGTATTTTATATCGCCGGGCGTCATTCGTATGACTGTCGACATCACTCGAAATTGTTTGGACTACCTTAACATCAGTTCCTTTGTCCTCAAAGAGCTCAAAATCTCCGTGAAAACTGGTCGCCACTGGTGTTTGTGTCTTCCAAGCAGTTTAGTTGTGCTTACAATAAAAGGAGGGACCTTCTGGTTGACCAATTTAAAGCGGCTTGATCGATTGAAAGACGTCGATCTTGACACTGAACTGACTCCGCCGAAGGCACAGAAAGGGGTGAAGAGTGTGTGTCTCCCTTTGAGTGTCGAGAACTGTTGTATTAAGTCGATATTTGGAAACTCCAAATTTGGGAATGTCGACCAGAACTTGGTCTTGAGGAAGTGTAATGTGACGGGGTGTGTCGATTTTTTGGACTGTTCGAAGTGTAGTCTTTTAACGCATTTGACGGTGTACACAACAGCACAACAGTTCACTCTAACGGTTCCCAAACTTATCAAAAACGTCTCTGTTATATCCAAGAATGGGAGAATAGTCATGAAAAACAGTCGAATATTAAACACGATGAGCGTCTTACATGTTGAAGGAAATTTTGAGTTTCTTGATCTGACGAATTTGTATTCTGTTGAGTCACTTGTGTTAATTTCATCGGCTAAAGCTACTCAAATTAAATTTCCAAAATACCCGAAGAACTTGGTCGAGTGTTATTTCCATCGCCCTTTAGACGCGGTAGTTGAGTCCCTCATTAACTCCAGAAGTTTAAGTCTGAAAGGCAATTTCAATGTGAAAAAGCTTTGGATTTCGATGAGTTCTTCTGAATCACCAGTCATAGAAATACCACATTTGAAGGAAATAGTGTTGTTCTATACTTTATTTGAATGCATTGGATATGACTCAATCAACAATAGGTGTAAGTTCATGTCAACTGAAGACAAGTGCTGTTTCACGATACCTATCACTCTGAACATCACACAACACACGTTGATCAAAATCAGTGTTGTGTCGAAGACAAAGTGGTTCACTATTTCTAACCCGACTAGTCCTGTTGTCAAACACACAACACACTTGAGAAACAACAGAAACG